TCAAACTAATTAAAAATATGTTTATAAGAACTTATATATGTCTAACGCTCATAAATCAACACAAACACAACTCTAATGGACTTCTTGTGCTAACAAGTCCAAATCTAAATAAACTGAATAAAACAAGTTTTTTTATCCTAAATAAAAGCTTAAAGTAAGTAATGACTAATCTTAAAATAACTAAATTAAATATAGTAATTAAATCCTAATGGGACTCACTAGAGTCCAAGTTCTCTGAGCATGTGCAATTGATTATCTTGAGTTCTTCTAACTTTGAATTAGGTCTGCTTTCAAGACTGCAACCATCTTCTCTAAGTTTCTCTTTATCCTCTTTGCCTTTGCCCTTATCATTGGTTCTTGAAGCTATTTTAATGCCTTCAAGCCTTCGTCTTTAAAAAACCTTCTTTGATTCTCATCACCAATACCTCCCTTGGGGCAAAATGACATTTCTTGTGATTAGCATAAAATTGGTGCCATGTAACACTTTAGGGACAGATTCTAAGTGTGAAAGGTATGATTCCCAATTGGCTATATACTAGAATATCATAAAAGAAAATCAACATAAACATGAGAAGCATAGGCCAATATAACTCATTCATGGTAACTTAGAAAGTCAAGGGACCATTGGATAGGCAAAATGACATTACCAAATATTCATAGTGGCTACACCGAGTTAGGAGTACAATCTTTTCCATGTCCTCTTCTCACATTTAGATTTAATTATAGTTGGATTTGAGGTCTACTTTAGTAAAGTAAGTTGCTCTATGAAACTCATCCAACAGTTCCTCCACAACAGGGATAGGAATTTTATCTGGAATTGTCACTTTATTGCGTGCTTAGTAATCTACACACATGCACCAAGTATCATTCTTTTTCACTAGTAAATCTGTGCTAGAGTAGGCATAGTATTGGGTCTTAAGGTCCCCATTTGAAGCATGTCTTGCACCTGCCTTTCAATTTCATTCTTCTGAAAATGTGGGTTGTAACATCCCATTTTTTCGCTTTTGGAAAATAAAGTCTTTTTTTATTATTTTAAGTTTTTAGAATAAAAAGAAAGTAAATCTTGTTGCCATTTTCCAATATATGGACTTTTCCACTGTCCTAACTCTCTTTCTCTAGATGAATTTTTAGGAAGTTAGACATCTATATAGATGATCATATCATGCCTATTATCCTAAAGGTTGCATGAAAAACACCCCTATGCAAAGTCTTATGGCAACAAAATTCAGATGGCCATGCAATCCATAAAATACCAAAAAAATAAAAACTGCACCTAGCCATCCATGTTCTACGTGGCTGCAACCAGGAGTCTGCATGGCTGTAGTGGCAAGTTGAAAATAGATGTGCAACCCACAAGAAGACAAAGTTGAAATATTCCTTAGAACATCTAGAATCCTGTACACAAATTGCTGCACTGTGAGAACATCAAAAGAACATCACACCCAGCTCTAGACACACACCAAAGATCAAGTCTCCCAGAATCCTGAATATCAGCTGAACAAGGTAAACTGGAAGAACTTATTAGAACTCTGCAAAAATCCAAGTTTTCATACATGCATGCACTCTGTGCTGCATGATCCAACTCCCCTAAAGCCTCTATCTTGACCCAACAATCATTCAATCCTATGGATCATTCAATTAGATACTCATAGAATTTTTTGGAACAAGATTTGGACCAAGGATCAACGAGAAAAACAGATTTCAAAAAGCTATATCAGATTTTGAAAATTTCTGAAAACAGTGAAAAGAATGTTTTTAAATCCCTTTTAATCCAACTTTATAAACAAGCATGTGCACTTTTGAAATTCTTGTAATGAGATCTTTCCATCAAGCTATCATATGCACAATTTGGAGCTTGTTTGATCATTCAATTTCATGCACAAAGTGAGCCACTTGAAGCTGTCAGGCATTCTGTGACAGAAGAGTTACAACTCTGCAAAACTGCAATTCTGTACCATATACATGCATGAAAAATTATTTTGAACACATTTCCACTACCCTTAAGATGTTATCTTTCAAACCATTTTTACAGTATTGGATTTGCACATCAATTTCCCTACTTTTAACCCAAGACTCAAAAACTGCTCAAGTTAAAATTCTGCAGAACCAATTTCTGAAAAATTGGTCATGACAGCAAATTTCCCTTAAATTCTGGACTAATCTGCATGTCTAATGATTTTATAATCTCACCCATGTATTCTAGGTAATATTAGCTTTCCAACAAGATATCTTGAGCCCATTTTGGATTCAATTTGATAAGTCAAAAAGTTGGGACAAGTGAAGGTTTCATTTCAGAAATCAGCAAACACAGTCTGCAGTAGTGTGTGTGCTGGGACCAATCTGTACTCCCAAAAATGTCATGAATACATTTTTAGAAACCTCAATGTCTTAGCTTTCAAACAAAATTGGTTTGACTTGATTTGGATCACAGTTCAATTAGTTATGCACAAAACACTACACCTAGCTCAAATATAGACCACTTAGCAGAACAGCCCTTTATTTTTAGGTTTTAGGCCAGAATCCTAGTCCAAGTTTTGCAAGGTGACTAACCTACAATATTCCTTGCAGTTGTAGCTCTCCAAGAAGTCATTCTGTGCTCAAATTGAACAACTTTTCTCTCGGTTAAACCTAAAATTGGTGTGACAATTGGCGAAATTTTGAACCTTAGGGAAATTAACACTTAGCCACATATTCTGTTTTGGCTGAGTTGAATTAGAAGGTATTGGTGGTTGGTACCCCTAACTTGTTACATATATGTGTTCTCTTAAATAGGAACCACTTGGACACTTGCTGCATTCAGCAAATGCAAACACTCACAAAAACTGGTAAAGGGAGGAGATGTTTTCAAGTAACTAGTAAGGAAATGGAAATAAATGGGATAGGCCCCCCTTAGCCCTGAACCTTGAATGTTTAAATTATGTTATGACCTTATTGATTGTATTTGCTTGATTTGAATGCACATAGATAATTCTGAATTTTGAAATGATGAACTTCAAAAGTGACATTTTGGTACTGGTGGTCTATTGTGCATGATGACATACATAGCATACATGAATATATGGGGAGATGGATTGAGACTTCCCATTTGTGAACTAAAATCATTATGAAAACATAGGCATTAGTAAAATGCAGAGAGTATTGGCATGTAAACCATACTATGAGCCAATGACTATTAAGCGAGTTACCACTTTACCTCGAGACCTTAAGGTTTAGATTGATAAATGAATTTTTTAGTGTTGTGTCAAAACTATATTTTATTGAAAAACAGCAATTAGAAACCATAGAAATTAAATATATAAACCTTAAAGGAAAGAGGTAAAGATGGTGAATCAAAAGTGGTTAATGGGTACTTGCTAATCTCAATTTACAAGGTCTAAATAGTTGAAAAAGAGGCATAGCCCTAAAAGAAATTGCCTGCATTGATGGTTCCGTGAAACGTGAAATGAATAAATTTAGACTATTCAGATGACAAATAGGTATAAATGTCTCTCCCCTATGAGAAAGGAAGTCATTGTATCACGATGTGATGCCAAGTGAATGGTATGAAGGGAAGCCATGGTGACCTAGGGGATAATAATCCTATGAGTGACCTTGGTAAAAAGGTTATGACTGTGAGTCTCTACGTGGTGCTCTTTTATCACTAGTTACTCTTGAGACATATCATGTTGATAGAGCTAGATGTAGCAATTGGTGGTTCAAGTTCCCACCATTATATGAATATTTGGCTAGCTAGTGAAACTCTCAAAAACTTCCAAAGATACGTGTGGATCCAAAAGTCACATGAAAAGTTTTGTTAAGAATTTGAGTTAGACCACTGACAACTGCACACATGAATTTTCAGCATACATCACATCCCACATCGCATTAACATTAGAGTTTAATGACTGTTTGTGTGATTGAATTGTGATCTCAATTATTTCTTCCCTGAATTTTGATACTTGTTATTGCATCGCACTCCTTTTATTTGGTCGTGCACTATCTGGTGTTGGTTGCTCCTTTTCTTCAGTGTTTAGAAAATGTCAATTCTTCGGATTTTCATGGACATTCATATCATTGTTAAGGAGGATGATGAAACCCTAGGACTTGTGTGGTAATTTTGGGTTGTAATGATTTCAGTACTAGTTAGAATTTCTCAACTAAGTATTTTAAAAAAAAATGTGTAATTGAATTTATCTACAAATATGACTTGTTGAATCTTGTGTGTATATATTTAAATTCATCCAGATCTAAGGGACTAACGAAGGCTGCTTAATATTCAATTGATTAGCCCGTATGGTCTAAAATTCAATTCCAATTAGATGATTGTTAGAGGAAATGACAGTCGAGTCATGTGAATGGAATTGAATTGTTCCCAAGTAGAGATGTCACATGGGTACTTATATGGCCTCACAGAAACTGGTCCTTGTCTCTTCATCAAATTAATAGCATGATCAAATGGTCTTTAGGGTTTAAGCAAGCACTAGGCTTGAACGTTGTCACAACAAAAGTTGTTAACCAAACTATGCAAAGAAGAAATCAGTTGGTAACTGCTCTTTGAAGTGTGAATTCTTGTCCAGAGGCTTGAAATTTCATAGTCATCATCTTCCAATTTGTTCTTACTTCTCCCAAGGTCGAAGCCAATCAACATCCAAAATCATAATAGTCAATAGCAGCAATGGTGGGCATGATCGCAGGAGAGCAGCTGTTGTGATGCGAATTGCGGCCGCAAAAGGTGAAAATTGCAGCCCCTATATCAAACAAGGGCAAAAGGGCAATCTTCATTGAAGACAATTCTCCTGTGTACTGTCTCTAGGTATGAATTTTTTCCATCATCTTACACTCTTCCTCCTGTGGCATATTTTCAGTTTCAGGATCAATCTCTTCAGCCACTAATACTTCCCCATTCTCACTAATCATCTCATCCTACCCTAGTAAAATTACTCTCAGCTTCAGATCAGCACACTTATGAAGATGGCTATAAGGCATCCCGCATCTGAAACATAACTGTTTTTTTTTCCTTTGCTCCCACTCTTGAATTGTCAAATGTTGTATCCCTTTTCCCCCAAAACAAGTTGTTAGGTGTTTCAAGAGTAGTTTCCCCTACAGAAACTCCCCTTGTCCTCTGGTCCTGCCTGTGTGAGTAATTAGCCTCTCTATTCCTTTGGTCCCATGATTGGTGATGTAAATTAGGTTGTAAATTTTGTGATAACATTCCTCCATCTCTTCCAATGAATCCTCATTGTTCACCAACATGAACTTGAAGTCCCTCCTCACCTTTCTTTATGGCCAATTTGACAATTCAGAATTAAGAATGAGAAAGAAATTGAAACTACCCTAGCTTGAGTGGAGTGTCAAATTCAGAAACCCAAGACAAAGAGTACAAGAACCAGGGAACACAAACCAAAAAAAAACTTCAAAGCATGCAAAGCCTTGTGCAACCACCAGAAGCACAGCATGAACTAGAAACAGAGAATGAACCAAAAGCAGCAAGTCGTGCAAGCAGAATAGCAGCTCATGTCAAAGCAGAAGCCATGAACAAGCAAGTGAACCAAACAGAATGCATGAACAGAACTAGAAGCACAAGAGACAAAGGAGAAAACATCATTGTTGTACGACAGAACAGGGACAAGAACAAACAAAAAACAGGACCATGAACCTGCAAACCCAGGAAACAAGAAGGACCCAAGCCTCTGTGCTTAGAAGGTTCATGATACCATGTCAAATAATTTGCTTGATGCCCCTTTCATTCTAATCATCCGTATATATTGTACAAAAACAGTACAGCTATTAACTACAAAATATTTCTATTTCCTAACTTAATAAACATATAAAAGGAAATGAGAATAATCCCAATTAATACACATATAAACAGAAATGAGAATAATGGCAGATTTCCTGTTTAACACTTCCTACCATCCATAGTTTGATGGGCAGATAGAGGTGGTAAATCAGTGTTTGAAATCATATCTTCATTGCTTTGCTTCTGAGAAACCCAGAAATTGGTCCCTTTGGGTGTCTTGGGTAGAGTATGGTATAATAGCACTTATCACTCCGCCACTAATACTATCCCATTTGAAGTGGTCTGTGGTCGGAAGCCTCCTACTGTTGTCAAGTATGGTGAAGGAGAATCGCGTGTACAAGCAGTGACAAGAGATTTGAAAGACCATGATGAAGCACTTCGTTAGTTAAAATTTCATTTGACTAAGGCACAAGAGCAAATGAAACATTTTGGTGACAAGAAACAGAGGATGCAGAATTTTTCTATTGGAGTGGGTGTCTTTTTTGAAGCTGCACCCACATAAGCAGCAGCAATCAGCTGCTCAGTGCAATCATCAGAAGTTAGCTGCACATTATTTTGGCCCATATCAAGTCATTGAGCATTTGGGAGAAGTATCTTTCTGGTTGAAACTTCCTACCAATTCGAAGGTTAATCCTGTTTTTCCATGTGTCATTGAAGAAAAAGCTGTGGGAAATTATGAGGTTGATGCTACTCATCCTCATGACTTTGGGGTTGAGAATATGGTGGACCCTTATTCTATTTTGGCAAGTAGGATCATTACGGACAAAGGCCACCAGAAACTCCAGTTCTTAGAGCATTGGCAAGGCAAATCAGCTGAAGATGCCACATGGGAAGATGAATCTCTTTTTACGAGTAAGTTCCCTGATTTCAGCCTTGAAGACAAAACTGTTGATTCAGCAGCAGTTATTTATAGGCACATATTCAGGGGATTAGTTTATGAGTACTGGGCCAACAAGGCCTAATGTCTGGAAGGTGTATAGTAGGGGAAAGATGGCACAGATGGATGGGGAATACCAGCATGGCAGAAGTTAGTTAGGAGAATTTCTTAGAGCCTTTGGTGGTATATAGGAAAGGGGGCAGCATGATGGGGGCTTGCTTAGCTGTTAATTAGTTATTGGGCATAGCTAGGGACCTTGCTGAGATTGTTCTTGTTTCGGAGCTTTTGCTCTAGTGTATTTTCAAATATCGTTGAGTACTGACATTTGCGTATAGTTCTGGTTGTTTATTTGGCATTGTATTTGATTCAATTAACTGAGTTCCTATCAATGTATGCCTGGTACAATAATCAAGGTCTTGCTAGAACACTCAAAATACATGAAATATGGCAAAAGCATTCCATTTCTTCTCAAAATTTCAGCCCTTTGAGAAGATGTTTTCCTACCCAAATTTTCTTAATATTTTTCTATTACGGACCTGCCTCACTATATTTTCAAACATTAAGGATAAGTCAGGCAGAAGTCATTTTACTCTTAAAGAAGCAGCGGAAAATATTCTACTCAATGGATTCCTTCACGATGTGGTTACAAAGACATAATTCACTAAAAATTTATTCTTTATTAATAGCAAGAGTTTATGGAAAAGTTACAGGAACCGATAACAAGTTCTTTAGCATGATGTTAAAATAGAACTCACAAAAATGTTCGTAAGGATTAACCAGCGTAGACAGAGAAAAGATTTGAAGAATTTCTACATAAGGGTAGACAAAAACGAAATAGTCAAATATGGGCAACATAGAACTCACTGCATGATAGGCATATGGCGACTTCCCTTGACGCTCAAAGTGTTTTGCCATGATGCAGTACTCAAACGGACCCCACTCTTCAACATCAAAGCAGTTTCCAAGTGCAGCTTTATATAACTGACAACAAATTCAAAACACAACAATCAAATTTGAGATTCAAATCAAATCAAAGACATCCACTCTCAAGATTATATTTCAGAAAAGACCTTAGTAGTGTCCGTTAAAAGCTCGGTACCAGCCGGGTACGATGCATAGAATTGATCAGCTCTAGAATACCCGGCCCTAGTTCTGCAACACAAAAAAGTAAAAATAAAAAATCGTATTTCAACACAACAGAGATTAACATAAGAACATATCGTCAGACAAAATCCAAATTCCAATTATTCTAATTATAATATTAACAGCATGTGACCCACGTATTGTTAACATAAGCATAGCTTATAAGCGTGGCAAAGCAGTAGAACCCTGTATAAGACACCAATCGTCGAAATTTTTGAATCTTTAGTATCTCTTTGAATTCATCATAGAGCTTCATGGACAATGATAAGAAGAAGTTAGCCTGAGAACCAAACAGAAAGCAAACAATCAGTAAGAACATTAATCAAACAAGTGTTGTGCACTGTGCACAACACCATCCTATACAGACTATAGTCATTACTTCCTAGAAATGAGGCAGATAAACAAAAGGACGACAAGGAATACAAGGAAGCCGCACGACGCATAAAACAGAAAAAATACTTTATATATATGAAAAACTGTTAAATTTTTAAATTAAATAGTTGATATTAAAAATATATAACTTTATAATTTTATTAAAAAAATAAAATTATTTTTTAAAAACTTAACACTTGATAATTATGAGAAAATCTAATGTCATCCTAATTCTATATTGTATTTAATATTTTAATATAGTATATGCATTTTTTTAAATATGATTAAAAATACAAATAATGATATTTTTAGTAAATTATAGTTAAAAATTAAAACATATTAATTTTAAAGATATAAAGTTAATTTATTTTATAATATCATTGATTTATATTTAATATTTATTAAACATAACATTTAATATTAAATTTAAGTAAATTTTATATATTAACTAGTAAATTAGTTTCAGCGTTACATGGATTTGTTTATATTTTTATTAAATTACTTTGTTTAAAATAATTAAAAATAATTATAATTTAAATTTAAAATAAAAAATTTATTTATTAAGCCATCATTAAATAATTATTTTAAATCTAAAAGAAAGATTAATAAAGAAATAATTTTTGAAACAAATTATATTATATTATATTATATATATATATATATAATAAATATAACAGAAAAAATTTAATTCAGATTTCAAATGTTATAATTTGTTTATTTATTATGATATAAAAATATTAAGTATGAAAATCAAATCTTGTTATAAAATTTTAAAAAGAAACAATATTCATATATCTTTAATATCTTACTATCTTATTATTATTATTATTATTATTATTATTATTATTTTATATTTAAACAATATCAATTATTTTAATTAATAGTTCTTACTTAAATTTTTAAATTTATAATTTTTTCTATAATATTTAATAAAAATAAAATATTGCTACAGAATTGTAAAATTTAAATAATTATTAAGTATACTTTATTTTAAAATTTTAAATTAGTTATCATAATTATAATATTAAATAATTAAAAATTAAATAGAAAATAAAAAATTTTATTTTTTATTTAATATAAAAATTTATTTTTATATTAATTAAAATACAATATGCTGATATGAGGAATAAAATTTTAAACAAATATTATATTCAATAACAACATTTATATTGAGATAATAATAATAATAATAATAATAATAATAATAATAATAATATATGATAATATAATTAAATATTTAAATAAAATATAAAAAATTTGTTATATTTTATTTAAAATTTTATAAAATTTTAAAAATATTTAATTACGATAAGTAATGAAAATAGTTCAATTTTTTAAATTTTATGATGTTGTCTTTTGTTCAACATAATTTATTTATTTTTCCTTAAGGTGTAATTTTAAAAATATATAGTATAAATTATTTAATAATTTAAAAAATTTTAACAATATTTTACAAATTTATAATTTATATATTAATTTTCTTTATTTTTTTTCATAAATTTAATGTTTCTATAATTGGATATCCATTCAAAGAATTTATTCAAGTCATTATTTTTAGTTTGATATTTCTATTGTTTAAATTCTCTTTTTTTTAATGTACAAATATCAAATAATGAAAATAAAATTTATCCTTCTCATTTTATAAACTTTATAAATGAAAATAATAAATTTATAAAATTATTTTATTTATTATTTTTACTATTAGCTTCAAAAAAAATTATTATGAAACTTTAATTTCCAAAAATTTTAAAGTAAGTACTATTTTTATTTGAAAAATACAGAAAGTGTATATAGTATTTAAAAATTGTAAAGATAACTTTAAATGATAATTATCGTCAAATAAAAAGATATTTCATTAAAATAAGTATATATTTTAATTTATTTTATTTAACCAATCAATCATATGGTTAAACGTAATTTTATACATTTGTTTATAATTTCAAAGGTTTTATTAAGATTCTTTACTTTCACTTATATTAAGGGTTGTATTGGATTAGGATTTTAAATGAATTTTTTAGTTAAAAAATTCCTGTAAATTTTAAAACACTTTTGCAGAATTTTGTAAGACTTTAAAATCAGGATTTTAATGGATTCTGCAGGACTTTATGGACTTACAAAATTTTATGGATTTTTAACATAAAGAGTTCAAGATTTTTCATATACATTCAAATTTAAAAAGAGTCAAATAAAAATAAAAATAAATAACAATGTTTGGATAAATAATAATAATAATTTTCCATAATATCATGTCATCTTAAATTAATGCACATAATCATAGCTATACTAGTCCTCCAAGCATTAGGGTCTTTTCACTCTTGCTCTTGGGTTTAAATAATAGACTCAAAAGTATAATTTTCATTAACCAGTAATATTGAAGATGAAGATTCGTTCATCGGTTCAATTGAAAAATATCATAATAACATTCTTTGTGAAGAAAGTTATGTAGTGTTGCATATGCTAACACAAGTTCTACTTGTGTCTTAAATAAAAATAGAGGTGCTAACTTAAAAATTGTGAACCTTAATTTATAAATACTTATTCTCTCGATAATATTCTTTAAAGACGCATGACGAAGATTGAATAATTTTTTCTCATTTTTAGGGTTATTACACTCACCTGCAAAATCTTGTAGATGATATCTTACACATCAAAATAGAGCTAAAAATTGGCGTCAGTTAGGAAGTCTACAATGCACTAAGATATATTTACCTAATTACATATGCAATATATATAATAATAGTATTATAATAATAATAATAATAATTATTATTATTATTATTATTATATTAAAAAATAAACACTTACTTTGAGCCATTTTAAGTTCATTCTTCCTTGTTATAGTATCATTTAGTAGCTTAGAATCATGAGTTGAACCCTCCCACGCACTAAGAACATATATGAACTCCAAATCAAAATTACAAGTGCCTAATACATTTTGTGATATCTTTCCATGACGATTATGATAATTGCTTACATCTCGCCCCCTCACTATTGCTGGAATATGTGTCCTATCAATAGCTCCAATGCAATCCTAAAATTTAGCATATATTACACTTCATCGTATGAAAAATCTAAATATAGTAGTGCCAAATTTAATTATAATTTTTATTGTAAGATAATTATTATATACACTTGAAGAAAGGGAAGAACCTTGTGCTTTCTCTAATTTTAGCTGGCACAGTTGATCCTGGTTTAGCCATCAAAGTAGGTGCTATCATATTCAAAGTTGTCAAAATCTTGTGAAAAATTTCACTTGTAGTAAATTGTGATAAGCCAAATGTGTTATGAATTACATAATATCGAGTATTCTGACCAACAATTTGTAGGAATGATGCAAGTATTTCTTCAACACAAATATATCATATATCCTCTAGAGGTGTTTTTTCTCTAAGAATTGCACAACTTTTGAAACACATTTGGATACATCCTATAAACTTATCAAAATATTGTAGGATCATCGTTTAATACTCGGTGTATATAGTCATTTTCTATGTTAGTAATTCATTATCAATTTTTGGACGCTAAATTTGTTCATTAGTATCATAATTAGAAACTGAATCAACATGTGCATTAATGCATGAATTACCATTACACATGCATACATGGCTTCATAAAATTCCTCATCATCTATCTCTTCATCACCCATTTCTTCTTTATCTATGTCATTACCTTTATACATGCTCGAATGTGACATTGTACCTATATAAAACAATATAACAAAAAATAATAATATAATAAAAAAATAAAACATGCTAAAATATTTCAATCAAGTGCAAGCAAAATAACACCAAAACAATATAGTTCCACCATTCCAAAATGTGTTTATACACAACCAAAATATAAAGCAAATACTTCAATCAATTGCAACCAAAATAACACCAAAATAGTATAGTTTGACAAATCCAACATGTGTTCATACACAACTAAATTATAAAGAAAATACTCCAATTAAGTGCCACCAAAATAAAACTAAAACAATATTGTCCATCCTAGCTTGTAATTTATCCAATCTGAGCGCTCTTCTATTAACATTATCAAGAGAAAGTCTTTCTTTACATTAATATCAAGAAAATCAGCCGCCATGTAGTGAGTTTGATCATCCAAATTTGGGATCTCTTTTATAGCACTCCAAATATTTCTTTGCCTCTTTGTATCTTTCTTTTTTCTCCATCAAGTTAGACATTTTTTCAAAATTGATGGTTGTAGTCTCACTGCCAACAAATAAATTTTCTAGAACTTTAGCTTGAATGTTGTTCCCAACTGAATTAGAACTCCCTCCATACTCGGACCTACTCTACTTACAATTAATTGGTTATTCAGTGGGAACCTTTGAGGAGGCTAACGGGTTTATGTGGTGAAATGCTTGTGCGAGGTGATGGATGATGATAAGGTAGTTCACAAATATATCATTGTTAAGATCATATGAAAAGTTTTCTATCCCAAAATCAATATTTTTTTCTCCAAAAGTTGTAGCATCAGTATCATCAGGGTCTACTGACATGAAAGTGTGTCCACTAGCAATTCCATCCCCAACAACAATCTTTAAATTCTCATAATCAACCATACTTTTTTCTTGAAGATGTTTGTGACTTAGGTGAGACTAGAAAAAAATTCATTATCAATATATTAAAAATAATATAATGCACTAAACTTGTAAATTATTAATATATTTAAAAGATTATCAAGTAATCTCACCTTTAAGTACTCTTTTCATACTTCATCACTAGCGGTGAATGTCTTTGTAATATATATATATATATATATATATATATATATATATAAAGTATACATTATTATTTTTATATTTTAGATATTTAAACATCCATTTATTTAATTAAAAAATGCTATATCGTATAGCAAATATCTTAAACTCAACAGTTAAAGGTGCTAATTAATTATTTGAAGATCTACAGTTGAATTGTAGATATTATAATATTAATTTCACCTTTCACCTTTTCCTTTTTTTGACGTGTGTTATAAAAAAAAATTACTACTTAAAAGTTAAAATTTCAGGCGTTTTTTGTGTAATATATCCGAGGAAC